ATTTTTTTTTTGGGTATTAAACATTTTTGCCACCGGTTAACCGGTGGCAATAACAGCTACATAATTTTTTTTTTCCTTTTTCTTTTCTGCTGCAATTATAATACTAATACTATAATATAAAAACAATCAATGTAAGGCAAACAACATCACATGAGTGCAAAAGAATTGTTATTGTAAATTGTTATTGTACAATACTAAAAAAAATTAAAAAATTACATTGAATTATAATCAAACAATGAAATTTAGCTTTAAATTATTGTACAATAAAAAATAATAAATAAAAAAAATACGTCTAAAACAATTTTTCAAAATCAAAGTCTTGAATCTTGTTGCATGTCTTGAATCTTGATGCATCAATTAACACCTGCATAAATTAAACCCAGAATTAATAAAACTTACTAAAAAATGCGAAAAAAAAACAGTACCCAAAAAATTCACGAACTGTAAATTATAAAAAAAAAAAAATTCGCGAACCCAAATATTTCACAAACCCAGAATAGTTCACGAACTCATGCACTTACCTAGACAAAAAAGCGATCCAAATATTTTGAAAATCAATTAACCCCAAAAATTTAGAAAATCAATCAAACCCAGAAAAATTTCGAAACCACTTAAACTCAGAAAAATTTCGAAAATCAATTAACTACAAAAAAACTTCGAAATAAATTAAATTTTAAAACCCAGAAAATCAATTTTGAACTCCACCATAAATAACAAAACCCACCCACCTTAAACCACCGTAACCACAACCACCACCACAACCCACGAATTCCACCAAAAAAAACAAAAAACAAAATAAAAGTAAGAAAAAAGAGAAATTACCTCGAATTTCACCAAAAATCCCCCGAAATTATCTAGAATTTGGGTTATAAAGGTCAAATTCGACCATGAAAACTCTAGATCTAGAGTTTTCATGGTCGAATTTTACCAGAAAACCTTAGGCGGCGAAAGTTAGTGGCGGCGGCGGCGGTTTTCAAAAGAGGTGAAGAGGAGGGAGGAGGCGAGGGAGATAAGAGAAGAAGAGCAGAGGGGATGAGAGAAAAGAGAATGAAGGTGTACTGAGCTGAGAACGAAGATGAGAAAATGGGTATGGAGGAGCTGTGAGGAGTGAGGAGAGATAAGTTCAGAAAGAAAAAGGGAGGAGAGAGAAGATGAGGGGGCTAGGGTTTGGTAAAAGGGGTTAATATATAGGAAGGAACAAAAGGGGTGGGTTTTAGAAAAGGCCGGGTTTTTATTTTTTAACAAAGCCACCGGTTCGAACCGACCGGTGGCAATACTAATCCCTCAAAATCCCGCCCATTTTTTCCCCTATTTTTTGCCACCGGTTTTTGAAAACCGGTGGCCATTGAGCGGTGCCTTTTTACTAGTGAAAGGATCTTGGAAACATTTAATTCAATTGGGATCAATTAATATTGAATAAATGTTTTAAAGTTACCAATTTTAATTCGCTTATGGTACTTTAAATTTTAATAAACATAATTGAATTTTGCGTTAACTTATAAGTAACATGTCGTTCTAATTTTATATTATATATAATCTCCTCGATTGAAAATAAAGTTGAGAAACGTTCTCAAAAGGTTAAAAGATAATCCATAAACCCATATTCCAATTTTGCTAAAATAATTCTAAAAGGCAAGTTTTAGAAATCCATGTCTAAGGTTGGTTTTGTTCAAAATGTTTGAGTAAATTGCCAACACATCTTCATTTTGAAAAATGTTTCAAGGGATATAATGAGATGGGAAGTACACATACTCTAAAAGACAAGTATAGAAACCAATAAAATCTCTTATCTTCAATATGATTGAATATAAGAAAGTGATTGGAAATCTCTATGATCAAAAGTTGATCAAATGACGCTACTCTTCATACACTTTATATAAGAGTTAAATAGTTGATTAAACTCTAATATGAATAATGATTGAATAGTCTTAGAAAAAACATGAAAAGAGCTTAAAGTTGTTATGCAAAGTATCATTTTGAACCTAAGAGAAATGTTCTAAGTGGCTCAAATGGGAAAGGTTTAGGAATATAAGAGGATTGCATTAAGAAGTTATAGACTAAGAAATGCAAACAAGTTGCTACTTCTCAAACCTAGAACTACTTACATGCTAAAAGTTGTTATGAACAACAAATGTTTCAAATTAAATGGACCAATTCCAATTGATTAGAAACTACCTCATATAGTTGGAAGGTAAATAATGGAAATGTTCCAATTTAAAAATTATATTATAGAAATTGATTTAGCATATTGATACTTCTTGGACATATGATGTCTTGTTTAGATCACTCATTGCACAATGTGGTTGAACTAAAGGAAGAAATTAGCTAAAGGAGAAATAAATCTACAAGTTTAGAAGAGAATGTTGCTACTTCACAAGTAGAATCTACAAGTCTGGAAGCAAAAGTTGCAACTTTACAAGTAAAACCTATATTTCACCTTACCTTATTATTGGCTAGAATTAAATAAATGTTATTTGTTCTTGCCATTAACAAAATACTATTCAATGTTAGTAATGACTAAACATCGAAGATTCAAAAACGTGGAATAGATGTTATTCTATGCTTTATTGAATCATAATGCGTTTTGAACTGCTAAATAGGTTTAAAATTCTATATGATAGATTTAATTAAACTATTTCTATATATATATAAATTGTCTCTAAAAATGTCAATTAATTCAAATGAAAATGAAAATTGCATGTGAAAGATCCAAAGGGATGGACTTTCAATATCATTAGATTATGAATCTATTGATATATGTAATTATCATTCTAATTTGAAATTTTAACAAAGTCACCATTTAGAGAAATGATGATGCGAACGCGAGGTTGAATACATATCGATGTACGAAAATGATAACGTGTTATTTGATATGATTTTAGAGCGATTTCGAACCTTGTTTACTTGGTATATTGACATTTTGGTTCAATTTTACTCTATTTTTGTTCAACTTTTGTGTATCCCTTGCTTCATGGGTTGTTAGTGTTTTTGTTTAGTTTTTAGGTTCAAAGACGACAATTTGAGGCATTTGGATGATAAACTGAGGTTAGAAGCCGAAGCAATGGAGCAAAACCAAAGAAAAGTGAAGATAAGGGCCTTAGAAAGTCAGCACGGGCGTGCAAAGTATGGCACGTCCGTGCAGGAGTGCCCCAGCACGACCAGAAGCTACTGCCTAATGCTTTCAAGACCTGCACGTGTAGGATATTCAGCACGTCTGTGCCTGATCCTGCACGACCGTGCAGTTTGCTCAGCCCAAATCAGTTTCAAAACTGATTGTACAGAACAAGGCCTGCACGTCCGTGCCACATTTGGCACGTCCGTGCAGGATGCCCAGGCAAAACACTAGCTCCTGCCTCTCTGCTTTCGGAGGTGCACGCCCGTGCCAACCTCAGCACGGCCGTGCTAAACAGGCTGCACTTGCGTGCCAAGCCTGGCATGTCCGTGCGGACCTGTAGCCGTGCCCAACTCTTTTTTTCTCCGTTCTTTTTTATTTGGGGGTCATATAAATACCCCCCTTTGCTCATTTGTACGGTATGCAAGTTTTTTAGAGCTTTCCTCTTAGTTTGTAATTCTAGAAACAGAAACTCTCAAAAATCATTAGTCAGATTTAATTCTTAGCTTGGAAATTTCAATCTCAATCATTTGTAAGGATTTATTGGAAGTTTGTTCAATCAATTTCAACAATTCCTCAACTTTGAAGTTTATTAAGTAATCTCTTTCCTCTATCTCTTGCACTTAATTTCCAATTTTAATTGTTTTGAGTTGATAATTTCTCCCTTAATCTTATTTATTTATTCTTACATGTTTAATCCATCCTTGTTCTATCTCTTTCCTAGCTTATTTGAATTCATGAAAACCCTAGATTTAATTGTTAGAGTAATTTCCACCATGTTTAGTGAGTAGTCTCTTAGTTAGGGGTTGGGTGAAAACCCAACCAAGATATGGTAATTGTCTTGGAATTATTCATGTTCTACCTTGGATTGATAGTTGTTTGTGCTTGAATTGATAATTGCATGTGTATTTTGTTGGCCACAATATGCTTGTGTGTTCATCCCTCTTCTCACATCAAAAGATGGGGTTTTGGAGTGAGTCATTTCTTATGCAATTAGATTATGCTACTTTCATGATTGTGGATGTTTGGTTTCATTGAGTAGGTTGCTTTAGTGTGGTAAATAGGTGAGAAATCCCAATTATTTGAGCTTCATGCTAGTTCGGAGCGATCGAGAGACAAAATCGAGCTAGAAACCCACTTCCTATCCTTGAGACTTAATCCTTGTCGTGTTAGTGCTTAGTTAGGGAGTACTTATGTTGTGACTTTGAAAGAAGATAATGTTAAGTCCCTTTTCTATCTTCTATGTGTGCTCATGATTCATCTTTTTTATTGATTCCTTGGCTTTGGTTGGTGTTGAATCCCGTTTCCTCTAGCGTTCTTTTATATAGTAGTTAACCGTTCAAAACCCAATTTGTGACCGAATTAGCTTACAATCGTTTCATACTCTTTGTGTTCTTCACCCATTCCCTGTGGACACGATCCTCTACTTACCCTAGACTTGTCTTAGGTTAGTTTAGGTAGAATTATTGTTGGGTTTAGGGTAATTGTCCAACGACCGATTAATCCTTTACCAAAATGGCGCCGTTGCCGGGTAATGGCGTTAAGCATTGAGTTACTTATGAGATATGTGAGACTAGTTCATTTGTATAGCTTTATTTTTCTTTGTTTTCTTTGACTAACCTACTAATCTCCCATATAGTCTTCTTTGTTTATGCCCAAACGCAGCAATAGGACACTTCCTCTTGTGCCGTTGAATCTCGAGCTTGAAAAAGTGGTAAGGGCAAATTGAAGAGAAAAGAGGGCGATAGCTAGTGGTGCTACCTCAAGTGAGCCACAAGTGGTAGTTGAGTCTTATCACTCTAGTTCTAGTGAGTCTAGTGGAGACACCATTCCATTAGAGTCACCAAGGACAAATTCTCCAACTTCTCCACCTCTTCACCAAATCTAGATGGCTATTCCAAATAAGACTTTGAGAGAGTTTGGTGTTCCTCCTCCATATCAAGAAGCAAGTGGGATTGCTACTCCCACTACCGAAGCAAATAATTTGAAGATAAGGCCCGCCCTTATCACCTTGATTGAGGGTAATCAATTCTCCGGGGCAAAGCATGAGGACCCCATTGCGCATCTAAAGCAATTCACACGGTATTGTAGCACCGTGAAGGCAAATGGGGTGACTCCGGAGTACATTCTTATAAGCATGTTCAAATTTTTTCTTTCGGGGAGTGCAAGTGATTGGCTCAACAGGTTGACTCTGAATTCATTGACAACTTGGAATGAGGTAACTTCGGCATTCCTAGGAAGGTTCATTCATCTTGGGAAAACGGCGGAGTTGAGGTCCAAGATTTCAAACTTTCAACAAGAGCCCGATGAGTCTCTCTATGATGCTTGGGAGAGATTCAAGAGCTACCAACAACAATGCCCCCACCATGGCATGGGAGATTGGCTCTTGCTTCATGGATTCTATAGGGGTATCTTGAGATCAGACCGCATACTATTAGATGGGGCATTGGGTGGACCACTCATGAATAAGCCATCCACGGAGGCATTAAAGATCATAGAGGATGTAGTCCAAAACTACACCGATTGGAGCCCCGATGAGCGAAGCACCTCTAAGAGAGGGGGAAAGTATGAGGTAAATGCTATTAACATGCTTAGTTCAAAATTGGATGCCTTGTCTTCTAAATTTGATCAAAGGAAATCTTTTCCCCCTCCTATCTCCCCCCTCCCTAACTCACGTGCATCTAATTCTTCAAATGATAATGTGTCTATGCAATTGATGTCTTGTGATGTATGTGGTGGTGAAGACCATACTTCTTCCGATTGTTATTTGTTGAATGAGCAATGTACCCCTTCCCCTTCTATGGAACAAGTCAATAATATGAATGCTAATCCTAGGTTTGACCCCTACTCCAACACCTACAACGAGGGATGAAAACATCACCCTAATTTTGGTTGGAGAAGTGGCCAAAACCAAGGGCAAGGTAGTGGTCAAGGTCAAGTTAGTGGTAGTGGTAATTATGTGTCTAATAATCAACGGAATTATAGAAATGACAATAGATACCAACAAAAAGGCCAATACTCTTCCACCCACAACCCACCCGGTTTTAATGGAGGAGTAAGACCAACCCCAGCTCCTATCCCTCGACCACCACATCAAATTCAAGCTCCCCCTCCTCCTAAGTCTAATATAGAAAGCATGTTGGAGCAATTCATGAACTCCCAAACTAAAAATACAAATGACTTAGAGGAAAGCTTAAAGCAAATGCAAACCCACAATAAAATGTTGGAAAATCAAATGGCCCAAATAGCTAGTGCCCTTAAAGGCAAGTCTAGTACCTCATTGCCTAGCCAAGGTCTAGATCCTAGAGAGCAAGCCCATGCCATTGTGACTAGAAGTGGAAAAAGCTTGGGAGAAATCCAAGGGAAGGGAATGCAACATGACTTAGAAGGTGAGAAGTCAAAAGAAAGAGTGATTGAAATGAGTGATTCCCATGGAGAGTTGAGAATAGAAAAAGAAGAAGAGAAAAACAAAAATAAATAAGTTGAAAAAGAAAAAAGAGAGAGTGAAATCCCACTACATGTGGCAAAGCTTCCTTTTTTGGGAAGGTTTGCCGGGTCTAGACTTGATGAACAATTTGCTAAGTTTTTGGAAGTCTTGAGGAAGCTTTATGTTAACATTCCATTCACCGATGCTATAAAACAAATGCCAACTTATGCTAAATTTCTTAAAGACATTTTGAGTAATAAAAGAGAATTTGACTTTGTGGAAACGATTAATATGCCGAATTGTAGTGCAATTATTCAAAATAAGTTTCCCACTAAGCTTAAAGTTCCCGGTAGTTTTTCTATTCCATGTGCTATTGGTGAAATGGTAATTGATCGTGCTTTATGTGATCTTGGTGCTAGCATAAGCTTGATTCCCCTTTCTATCTGCAAAAGACTTGGCCTAGGAGAGTTAAAGCCCACTAACATTTCCCTTCAATTAGCCGATCGTTCGGTTAAGATGCCTTTGGGAAAATTAGAGGATGTCCCCCTTAGGGTGGGCAAACTTTACATTCCGGTGGACTTTATTGTGCTTGATATGGATGAGGACTTGAATGTCCCCATAATTCTAGGTAGGCCTTTCTTAGCCACGGCGGGGGCTATTATTGATGTGAAACATGGTAAATTGTCTTTGCTTGTTGGAAAAGAGAAAGTGGAATTCAAATTGAACCAAGTTATGAAATGTCCTTCCAACATGGATGATTGTATGAGTATTGATATTGTTGAGAATGTTATTAATGAATCCATACAATTTCATTTGCATAACACTAATGATTCTTTTGAGTATGAACTTGAAAGCAAAGATAGGTCTTGCAATGAAGACATGGAGATGGAGCCAATTGAGGAGATTCTTGACTCCACGCCCATGGACAAGGAAGAAGCAAACCTAGTGATTGGAGAATAAGAAGTGAAGAAAGAACTCATGAACGACAATGGTAAGGAATGTCCAAGTGTAGAGCTAAAACCTCTACCATCCAACTTGAGGTATGAGTTTCTTGGTCCATCTTCTACTTTTCCGGTTATTTTTAACGCTTCATTGGATGAGATTCTGTAGGGAATATTTCAAGCATCATAACCCCAAGCTTGAACCCCACTGTGATCATACATTTAAATATGGTGGCGTCCAAAGGGAAAGAAAAGAGAACAAAAGAGTCGCTAGCAAGTTTTGGGAACTTGTAAACCAATCACGAGGTGAAGGTTACACCCCTTAACGATCCATGAGATCGTCAACTCCATAAGGTCAAGAACCAAATATGGTTCGGGGATGAGGGTACGAATCCAATCTACAAAAGAAAGGACTCACCCTATAAAATAGGCCTCTACTTCGTTCTACTCGTATTCATGTGCGCTTTCCGACTAACATGCAATCAATAGGTTAATCCTAAACTTGTTTATCTATGTTGGTTGAATATTAATGCACAAATAAATTTATTATTGGCGATCACTTGAATTAAAATCATATTAGCCTAAACGAAATTATTAATTATCTTATTAAGCGTGATTTAAAGTACAAATTCCCTTTATACATGCATAAAAGGCGTGATCAAGCAATAACAACAATATAAATCAAGCAACATAAATAACCATCATCATAATGATCATAATAATTATAATAATAATCAAAATCATGTTAATAATAAAGCAAAAATGTAATAGCAAGATCCTAGGCATGATACTAACAAGATTAATAACAAATCCTAGCATGTCACTAAGCATAAAAAATCAAAGCTTTAAACCTAACATGGTACTAACATGATATTAGAAAGAATAAAAGCACCCTAAACATGATTCTAGAAAGCAATAAATAACATCCTAACATGATACTAGGAATTAAACAAATCTAAGCAAGCGTTCTACATTGAAATTAAAAAGAAAGTAAACTAATTTATTACTTGAAAGCCTCGTACCTCTTTCTAATAACAAAATACACGCGTTAGTAAACTTCAATGAAATAATAAATCAAATAATTAAATTAAATAATTGAAAGAAAGATTTAAAAAGTTTAGACTGGATTTGGGACCAAACCCTCAGAAATTATCAACCTTTCACGTCTAGGGCGAAGGCAACTTCGAACTTGGCAAGGTGTGTCTAGATCTTGTGTATGCGGTATTGTGTTTGCAAAAAGGGTTGGTTCAGAAAGAGAGAAAATATCAAGGAATCCTTGATGAGAGTTGATCCTTGAAAAACGGAGGTCGAGAACCCTATTTATAAGAAAAATAGTCCGGAAAAGCATAGAATTTGATACGGAATAAAACTACACGCTGTCGCCGCAAAACCACTCTACCGCTTGGCGACAAGGATTGTTGCGAGGCGACAGACTTGTCGTTTGGCGACAGCCTGGCTTTTACGCGCTTTCCATGTGGAATCCGATCTTTAGCCAAATTTGATCTACGGAATCCGTACAAAAGCTAAAATCGTATTTTAATAAAATAATAAAATAATAACATTTTTTTCTAAATAAAAATCCATCATAATATAATCATTAATCCTAACTCTATTAGAATTTAAAATAACCTTCTAGAGACTTCTAGAAAATTATAATTAATCCTAAAAATTTTAGGAATAATAATTAACATTGGGCCCTCCTCTAGATCATTGGGCCGCATGTAAAGAACAAACCGGACCCGGTTTAGTATTTTGGCCATAACTTCCTCATTATTCATCGGAATTGGGCTTATAATATATTGTAAGAAAGGAATTTGCGAGCCCCATCCAACTACATTATTATTGGACCCTTGTAACGGACCAAAATAAACTGGATTGGCTATTTTTCATAAAATAAGGTTGTTTTCAAAAACAGAGAGAAGAGAATTTTAACAAAAACTAACCGCAACACTTGACTTTTCACACTTTCACCTCATTCGATTATGGTTCGACGCGAAAGGTATTCATCACTTGGTTTGGTTTTGGGGAGACACAAATGGGTGTCTACAGAAGCCCCCACTTTGACTGAGTTTGGAGAAACTTAGGTTTCGAAAACAAAAGTCAAAGTAGCGATAGGGACGGAGAATGATTCAGAACGTTCTGCGATCCTAAATCATTCTTGTTACACTGATACCTGCAGACTAGCGTTAGTTAAACAGATAAAGAGAGTTAAGAAACGCGTATCTTGCACCGTCGAGCACACGTCTCTGAAAGTAAACGATTTCGTTGTTGCATTTTGTGTCAACCTCCACAGTGCCTCGTGAATGCCATCGTTGAAGGTAACATTACTTCGCCATCTTCAATATTTTTGGTGACAATCCCCCACAGTACCTCGGGAACATCGTCGAAGGTGACCGTACCTCGTCATCTTCAGGTTTGTGGCAGTACTTCGCCACGGCAGAGCTTCGCCGCTGTAGACAATCTTCTCCATACCTCGGGATATCGTCGAAGGTGACCATACTTTGCCATCTTCAGAGTTGTGGCATTACCTCGCCACGGCAGTGCTTCGCCGCTCTAGACAATCTCCTCTCTACCTTAGAACATCGTCGAAGATCATTCTACTTATTGATCTTTGATATTGCTTGAATGTTGCTATTGTGCCAATACGTCGGTGCTTCCGCTGTTTGTGAACCATTACTTTGGTGCTTCTGCTGTTTATGAACCATTATGTCGGTGCCTTTGCCGTTTATGAACCATTACTTCGGTGCCTTTGCAATGAGCTAATACTTAGGCGCTTCAAGCTAAGTGAGATGATCTTTTATCAGGTCGATCACTTAATGTGATTGTAATCGAGCAGATCACTAAATCATGTCAAATTGCCTATAGGGGCTAACCGGCGTACCAAGGAACCCAAACTGCTGCACGAGGTCCATATAACCAAAATATGGAGCCTTGTATTTTGTCGCCACTCCAGCGCACACTGGAAATTCTTGTCGCCGCGCGACAAATCTGTCGTTTGGCAACAGGGTCAGGTTTTTAATTACCCTCCCTTTCTTCTTCATTTTTTCGCCGCTGCTCTGCATTTCCGCGATTTTGCTCGAAACTTCAACTCGATCGTTCTTGCCCATTTCTTAGCCGAATTCGCTCAAACTTGTTGCAAATCGAAGCTTATCTCATCTATTTTCCCGATCTATGTAAGTTTTACTCAAACTCACTCCGGTTTTTGATGAATTGTATGTTCTTGTTCACGAATTTTCAAAAAATTCGAAACTTACTTTGCTTAATTTTCTTTGTTTGTCGAATTTTATGCCACGAATTTGCTTTTTTATGCCACGAATTTGCTTTATTATGATTGTATATTTCCTTGGGAGTATTTTGAGACTTGTTTGACTCAATTTGGTGAAGAAACGAGCGATTCACCATTGTTGGACCTCTCGAGGTCGCGAAGAAAAATGTGACCCGTTCTTTGCGTTTTTGCTAGTTTTTCTTGTACAATTTGTCACAATATTTGCCATAGTATTGCAAGAAATTGTTTGGTTGCTTGAAAATCCTAATTATGCTTAGATTGAATTTATGCTCTATTTTAGTACTACGTACTCTGTTTTTGCGAACATAGTATCATGCGGCTATGCGAACCTTAAATACTATAGAACCTTGAATTTTGATTTACTTTGCATAACATAGCATGGCTAGATGACACGGTTCTGGTTCTCGGTCGAGGGACTCGCGCCGGGAGGACGAGCCTGCTAGCGAGAGTGAGGACCTTCCGTCCACGTCCAGACTTGGACCTCTCCTAGAGTGGGATGAGCACACTCTTTTCTTCGCTCCTGCACACCACCTGTCAAAGCGAGTACGATGTGGTCTCGAGAGTGGGAGGACCCGTAGTCACGGTTCGAGCAACTCTACAATCGGCACGCTTTACGACCCATTTTTCAGTAGAGATGACGCGTTGCGACAGCTTTGGGAGTCATGTGGGTTGACTCCTCTTCTTCGGGCCACCTAGGCCATGTTTTCCTACGATGGGGGTAACCTCGTCATTCGAGCTTTGGTGGAGTTCTTTTGGGACACCACCAACACTTTCCACTTTCCATGGGGTGAGATGACAATCACTCCAACCGACTTTAGTCTCATTATGGGACTGGAGTTTCAGTCTACACTGCTACCGTTCGACAGCGACATTACTGTGTACTCGCCGATTGTTCTGGAGTTGTTGGGTCCGATTGCTGTTCGGGCCCGTGACGAGGCTTAGTCGGGACAGCTCAGTTCCCGGTGCATTCGCCGTTGCACGCTGGTAGTGGCTTTCGAGGATGATGCGACCACTCGCGAGCAGCGGGTGCGAATCTTTGTGTTGATCTTGCTGTCAGGGACCTTTTCCCCTGACAAGGGTAGTCAAGTGCTCCTCTACTACCTTAGAGTCGTTCGCGACCTTCACTTGGTCGGGACATATGACTGGGCCAGTTTGGCCTATGCCGATTTCCTTCTGGGCTTGCGACGTTCCTGCCGTCACAAGGCCTTATCTGGAAAGATCGCACTTTCCAGCTTCTGGAGGGTCGTAGAGGTATATTTCTGTCCCTTTGAAATTTAACTCTAGACTAGTGTAAGCTTTTACTGATTTTCGTTATCTATGTAGATTTGGTTCTACGAGTATTTCCCTTCACTTGCGCCAGCGGGACCTTCTCCTCGCGAGCTCCCTATTGCTGCTAGTATGGGAGGTCACCGCGGTCAGGTCGAGGTTGCACGTCTTCGAGAGTTGATCCTCTCGGTAGGTTCTCATGAACATTTGCCTTTTAATTATCATTCTTTTGTTAGCATCTATCTTACATAGATGTTTTGTAGGAGCCTAGTGTGGTCTACCGACCCTGGGCTAACTTTGCTGTACCTGTGCTAGCCGCACAGTACACTACCGAGCGTCGCTACTTTCAAGGGACATACGACGCTATGGTATATCTAGGAGAGAGAGTGTCCATCCAGCACTCTTCAGACGTCTTTGTCGTCCCTGCTCGTCCGCCTCGACACATGTTCCTTGAGGCGTTGTTGCGC